GCTCGGCGGAGCCGGGCGCAGCCCCGGCGCTTCCACTCTCCTGCCGCCGCCGGCCGGGTGCGGAGTTCGGGGCGCCCCACCCCGTGGCGGCTTCTGTTTACTTTCAGCCGAGTTTTTCCTGCTCTGGGGCAGGTGCCTGCGCGCTTCTGGCGGCCGCGCGTCCTCCCCGCCGGTCCTGGCGCGGGGGGACGCGGCATGGAGTTCCCCGGGCACGGCGGGAGGCTGCTGGGGCGCCTGAGGCAGCAGCGTGACCTGGGCTTTCTGTGCGACTGCACCGTACTGGTGGGCGACGCGCGCTTCCCGGCCCACCGCGCCGTCCTGGCCGCCTGCAGCGTCTACTTCCACTTCTTCTACCGAGACCGGCCCGCCGGCGGCCGCGACGCAGTGCGACTCAGCGGCGACATCGTCACGGCGCCCGCCTTCGCGCGCCTGCTGGACTTCATGTACGAGGGCCGCCTGGACCTGCGCGACCTGCCCGTCGGGGACGTGCTGGCCGCCGCTAGCTACCTGCACATGTACGACATAGTCAAGGTGTGCAAGCGCCGCCTCCGGGAGCAGGAGCGCAGCGCCCAGAGCCCCGGCGCCTCGCTGCCGCGCCCGCCTCCCGCCTGGACCCCTGACCCAGGCCCGGCCGCCCAGAAGGCCGGGCCCCCCCCTCCCTGGCAGGCTCCCGGAGAGGCTGACCGGGCCCTGGACCTGTCCCTGAAGCCAGGCCCGAGGCCGGAGCCCGTGCGCCCACCCCGAGCTCTCCAGCCAGCCCCCAGCAGCCACACGCAGCTAGGAGCCCGGCCTCCCGTCAAGGCTGAGCCGGATTCCTTGTGCAGACAGAAAGAGGGCAGAAGCCCCCGCAGCCCCCTATCTCCCGCCGGCGCGGCGGCCCCCCAGCGCTTGGCCGACTCGGAGCCGCGGCGGGGCGTGGGGGCCTGGGCTGAGGAGCAGGCGCCCGCCGGTCCCCTCCGCGTGTGCCCGCTGTGCAGCAAGCTCTTCCCCAGCGCGCACGTGCTGCAGCTGCACCTCAGCGCACACTTCCGCGAGCGCGACGGCGCCCGGCCCCGGCTGTCGCCCGACGGCGCGACACCCACGTGCCCCCTGTGCGGGAAGGCCTTCTCGTGCGCATACACGCTGAAGCGGCACGAACGCACGCACTCGGGCGAGAAGCCCTACACGTGCGCGCTGTGCGGGAAGAGCTTCCAGTACTCGCACAACCTGAGCCGCCACGCCGTGGTGCACACGCGCGAGAAGCCGCACGCCTGCCGCTGGTGCGAGCGCCGCTTCACGCAGTCCGGCGACCTCTACCGCCATGTCCGCAAGTTCCACTGTGGCCTCGTCAAGTCCGTGCTGGCGTGACGGTCCTCGAGGGTCCCCAGCGGGGGTGTAGGGCAGAGGCTGGCCCTCCCCCGAGGTGGGTCCCTGTGTGGCACGGAGCCAGTGGGAAGGTGGCCTGGTTGGGGCCAGTCTCCCGTCGCCATGCATCCCCCACCAAGCGCTCTGACTCCAGAGGCAAGGCGTCACCAGGGCTCTGTGAGCTGCCCCAACCCCGCAGAGGGTGCCCAGTGGGCACCGAGTGGGTGGGAGGCGGCAGGCAGGCCTTCCCTGTGGTGCCTGATGCCTGAGGGTTACTCTTGTGCGCCTGGCACCACGCGAAGTAAAGGATGCGCGTGTCAGAGGAGTTGCTGTTGGAGTGAGCTTGTCTGCGGCCCTTGGGGAGGGAGCGGCCACTCCCCTGGTGGCAGCAGGAGCCCCTGCTGGGAGGCTCGGGCACAGTGTGCCAGCGGGGCTCCTGGCACAGCTGGTGCAGTGAGGAGAGACAGCGGGGGGCGCACAGCTGAGGGCCGGGCTCCCTGCTCAGGACTCTAGCTGGGGGCTCCCAAGTCTTGATAATGTGCTCTGCACCCCACGGTGACCAGCGCAGGTCAGGGGTCTGCAAATGGTTCTCAGTTAGAAAGCCCCTCCCAAGGTTGCCAGGTGGCTTTAGCGAGTGACAGCGTGCCTCATCCGTGCTGGGCGCCCTGAGCACAGGATGGGGCCAGGACTGGCTGTGGGCAGGGGGAGACTTGACCGTGACAGAGACACACCCCACCTGTCTGCCCTACTGGTCTGGCATATACAGAGTCCTGGTGAAGAGACTCCCCTCCCCAAGACCTCACTTTGCACAGCTCCCCCTTCTCCGGGGAGGGAGGGAGGTGGGTGGAAGCTTACAGGGCTCTGCTGAGGGTCCTGTGCTGACACGTGATCTGAGTGGCTGCCCCCTCTCCCTTCAAAGCACTATCGAGACCCAGAAGGGAGACCCCAGCTGGGGGTCCTGCTCTTCTCTAAGCCCCAGGGCTCTAATTTTCACAGGTGGCCTCGGATTTATTCTCCACGTTGGGAAGTGGAGTTGAGGACAGTTCTGCTGACTTGAAGGTATCTCTCTTCTTTTGATACACTTGAGGTGGTATTTATAAGTACACTCCATCCAGGGAACATGTCCTGTCCGCACTTCAGGTGGGATACATGGGGTCCGCGTGGCCCTTCCTAATGGGGCGGCTGGTATATGGTATTCCCAGAAGACGCCATCACAGCATCGCCAGTGTGCTGGGGGCCGCCATCACCAGCCTATCTCCTCTCCAGCTCCTTCCTCCTCCCCGAGTCCCTGGTGATGTGCTCCTGTGGGATGTGTGTGCTGGTGCGTGGATGATTTCCTGAGTGTGTGTGTGTGTGTGTGTGTGTGAATGAACAAACAAGTGTGGTGCCTGTCCAGCCCAGTGCAGCCCTCAGACAGGCAGCCTCACGACTTGGCCCTGGTCTCCCAGTGGTTTTGTGGGGAGATTTCTTAGGAGGCAGAGACATGCCCTGGGTCAACTGCTGGACGTGGTGGTTTGCACACGGTCACTGCAGTCACCATGAGAGGTGGTCAGTTTCCTCTGAGGCCATGTACAGTGCAGAGGGGCAGCAGCAGGATGGGACCTCCAAGGGTGATCTGAAGGACAGTCAAACAGGAGGGTCTGTGGCTGTGGTGGGAAAGGGGCTGTCCAGGCTCTGTCCCTTACTGATAATGACAACAGAAATAAAGACCCCTGGTTCACATGGCGTGCTTTTTCTCGGTCCAGGGCAGGGTCTGACAATCTTAAGTGTGAGACAGTGGGCCCCGCCAATCTGCATCTGGGACCACATGGGCAGCAGGGAGGCACTTTGTGTCAGGAAGTGGGTCTAGGTCCCTGGAGGATTCGGGCTGATGGGGGCCACAGGGGATCCTGGTCAGCCCTGAGGTCTCCTGGTTTTGAGGTCTTCCTCAAAACTTGTCTTGCCTCCCTCGCCTTCCAAAAGCAAGCTGGCTCCATCCTCACCTCTACACCCACTGCGCCCACCGCCCCCAGAGCCTTGGACAGGAGGCATCCAGGCAACAGGGGGCCCAGTTTGACTGTGGCTCCCCACTTCTCAGCCTTCCAGGGGTAGGGTGGACACAGGGCTCCCCAGACTCCCTGGGTGGGCCCCCTAGGGGGCAGTCCCACTTCCTATCTCCATGCAGAGGGCTCTAGGAGGTCCCCCTGACCTTCCCTGGGCTTTGCCCCCTCACAGTTGAGGACTAGGGCCACTCAGCCTCCATGGTGTGGTAGTGTTGGCCTGCGATGACCCTGGAAAGTGTAGCTTTGGGGGTTGGAGGGAGGAGCTCTCAAGCACTGAGCCGTGGATACCTAGAAACCCCACTTCTGTCCAGTCTTCACACCTCCCACTGTCCTGTGGGGGGACCTGCCTGTGACTCAGCCAGGCCTTCTTAGACCGTGGAGGGACACTTGCCACACGGACGGTACAGGATGGTCTGATGACACCAGAGGGGAGGAATCGTGCCCACACCTATCAACAGCTGTTGGCTTTCCTCCTGGGAAGATTGGTCTGGCACTGTCCCTAGACGTCACCCAAGCTTGATCCTTTGGCCAAACATCCTTTGGGCTTTGATGTGATCAGGGCCCACAGGGGGCTGCAGCCCTCACTGAGTGGTCCAGGGTCTCCAGGGCAGTAGGGAACAGGGTGGAGTGGCATCAAGGTCTGACTCCAGATGTCCTAAGAGCTTACCAGGTAGAGCTATATGGAAAAGCAGCCCTGGGGTGGGGGCCCCGGTGGGCTTGGTGCAGGTCTGTCAGTTCTGGAGGAAAATGTCATGTCCACTGTGACTGCTGGTGGCCATGCAGCAAGCCCAGAGAAGCAGGGAGTTACTGGGGGGGGGGGGCAATGTCAGTGGCCTGTTCTAGGGAGTGACACAAGGGGGCATGGAAAGATGAGAGCCCTGTTCCCACAGCTGGAAGACTGAAGTGACCTAGGGATGAGGTGTCTTAGCAGGCTGTACCCACACACAAGGGGCCTCTCCTTCTGTCCCAGCACTAAGCTGCTTCCTACGGAGGAGATGATTTAAGGGAAGGGTCTTCAGGGGTTACATGAAAGAGATGTGCTAGCCAAGACCTAGACACAGGATTAAGGTCACCAATGTCACGACCATCTCACTTCTTCCCTGCCTCCAACTGTCACCTTCATTACAATAACCATGTCCATGATCACCATCCTACTACCATAACCACCACCATCCTACCCTCACGGTCACCACTGCTGCCATCCTACCCTCACAGTTACCATCATCCATCACTACCATCCTACCCTCAAGGTCACCGTCAGCCTCACCGTTACTACTGTTCCATCTCTCCTTGCCTCCACTATTATCACCGCCATGGCCGTGATCCCCTCTGCTGTCATCTTTGTCACCATCCCCTCTGCCATTCCACATTGTCCCCATCTCCACTGTCACCACTGCTCTTACCACCATCCTTACCACTCGCACCACCATCCCCCTCAGCCACCACCACCTCCACCATTATGTCCACTCCTCACCTCACTGTCATCACCAGCCACTATTGCCTCCAGTGCTGCTGTCACACCTCCTCCCCAAATCTGTCACAACGAGTTGGCTGCTGGGTCTGGGTGATCTCCAGAAGACGTACTGAAGCCCCGGTCCCAACCCTGTGGATGCAAAGGCTGTGCACATGTCATCAGTGTCAGAAGCATGGGTCACACTGGAGAGGAGGTCCCGTAAATGAGAAGGGGCACAGACAGAAGGGACTCTACATGAAGATGGATCTCCAAGGGTCCCTGGCCTTCCAGAAGCTGAGACAACGATCTTCTGTCGCACCTTTGGAGGGAACCTGGCCCAGCTGATGCCCTGAATCCCGACCCTTAATCTCTAGAGCTGTGGGAATAAATTTTGTTTGAGGCTTTGCTTGCTTGTGTTTGTGTGGTGTCAGTTGCTGGCTGTTCCCATCTCACAGGTCTCCTAGACTCCGGCACTAAATGTACAGGCAAAAGGCTGGTGCCACCCACTCCAAACCACCTGCAGGTCCAGACGGGCTGGTGAGAAGACCTGGGGACAGTGTGTAATTGAGAGCTGTCCTGAGGAGGGTCTTGGGGGTGGGGGTGGGACACCTGTGAGGCTCTGAGGCATCCCCACACACCACTGCAGCTATTTTGACAGCCTCCTGCCTGGTTCCAGGGACAGAACATGCAGAACCAGGGACAACTGGCAGGGGGCTGGGGCACTTCCAGGCAAGGGCCTGCCAATAGGACCAGTACACCCTTGGGGGCTGAGTGCTACCAGAAAGGCACCACTGAGACTTGTTGGGCAGAGGTGACTCAGAAGCCAGCCTCCTCAGCCCCCAGCCTGGTCGCGCGCAGCTCCTCATGGACCTGGGGGTTTAGGAAAATCTGGGGGGCAGGGATGCCCTTCCCTGAGTGAACTTTGATCTGTGCATCAGACCCACTCTAGCACCACAGAGACCCAGATGAAGACCTTGGTCTTGAGCCCACATGCTTGCCACTATGAAGCTGTCCCATTCTTAGTGCAGTGGCTCTTGGACCTGATTTTGTCGCTGAGCTAGGTGCTCTCTGTCCTCCCTGCAGTGGTCTGTTAGCCTGGCATACGCAGACACTGTATACTTCAGGACATGCCAGGCCATCGGATGCAGAGCCAACTCAGATCTGATCTGAGTCCCATTCAGTCCCCCTCATCCTTGTCTTCATTCTGGACCTGCTGGCAGCCCAGGCCCCCTAGGGCCGTTCTTCACTTGAATCCCATGGTGGACATCCAGTGTCTTCTGGGTCCTGTGACTTTCGGAATCCTCAAAAGTCTCTTCACCCTTCCCAGCCTTCAGATACTGTGCCGCTCTGGGTATTCGATCTCTCCGTCCCACAAACCAGGGCAAGGGAGGTGGGGGACACAGCTGCCCTTCCTTCTTAGAGTCCCAGGCATGAACTTCTCTCTTCCATGCTGGGGCTCTCCAGCACCTGTATCTTCCTCATTGAAGGCTCCCACACCCATCCTGATC